GGCTTTTGAGAGCTACAAGAGAAAATTGTCCCTGAGGGTGGCAGAGGTAGTAGCAGGAACAAGGGCCCTATGGGCCAAAGTAGCATAAGTTATGGCAGACGGGGGGCATCAGCTTTTGGTTAGATACAGAGAAAACAAGGACATTTAAGCTACTTACGCCACCATAATCAGCCGGCAGCCCGTGACACAGAGTTTCTGTTCAGTCCCCATCACCAAAAACTCACCCCAATTGGCAGTCGCTGCATGGGCCACGCAGACTGAAACCTTCTCTAGATGTTCTTCCTCCAGACCGGGCCAGTGCGTGTGCACCGGGGGAGAGCAGCTCGCACCGCTGCCATGCAGGCCAGATCTGCGCTGTGGATCAGGGACCTTTCGGTCTCCAGGGCTGGTCACCTGGTGCCTTTCGCCAGCACGGCAACCTCTCGCTCAGCTGTGGTACAATAATGCTGGCTGCTGGCCCACTCCAGGGCACCTCAGCTGTTGTCTGAATTAATTAAGGCGGCTATGATTGCTTGCCACGTAGATTTCTACCCACGGGGGTCTGAGGGGGGTGCTGCACCAGCTGCTCCCAGTACTTCAAGAGCCGCCAGTGAGGTGTAAGGAAGGCTAGGCAAGGATGCTGGGTGATTTCTTAGGCTGGGAAATGGGAGGCAGATTTGTTTTCTTGCAGCTAAGACTCATATTCCCTTCCACCGCTCTGCCAATGCACTTCAGTCCCCAGCGACAGCACCCTCTGCTGTGAGGGTAACTGGCCCCCCCGACAGCTTTAGAACCTGATCTGCAGCACCGGGCTCATTCAGTCTTGGACCATCTGGGCTCCCATGAGCAGGGGAGGGGTGGTACCAGGGTTTTTTATTGCCTGTGCCACTTCCCAGGCACTGTAAAGCATTTCTATCCCCCGCACCCTGCAAACACACACTCCTGTACAACCTGAGCACCTCATAATCTTTACCATATGTATCCTCCCAACATCCCAGTGAAGTAGGGCAATACTGGTTCCCCCATTGAACAGAGGGGGAACGGAGGAACAAGGACTCTCTAAGGCATTTAGGGTCTCAACTTCCACTGATTTCAATGAAAATTAGAAGCCTACGTACTTTAAGGATCTGGGCCAGAGAGACTAAGCCACTTGCCAATGGTCATAGAGTCTCAGGCAGAGTAGGGAACTGTCAAGGTTCCTTCCCCACTCTGAACTCTAGGGTACAGATGTGGGGACCTGCCTGAAAGACCCCCTAAGCTTATTCTTACCAGCTTAGGGTAAAAACTTCTCCAAGGTACAAACTTTGCCTTGTCCTTGAACCCTATGCTGCCACCACCAAGCGTGTTAAACAAAGAACAGGGAAAGAGCCCACTTGGAGACGTCTTCCCCCACAATATCCCCCCAAGCCCTACACCCCCTTTCCTGGGGAAGGCTTGATAAAAATCCTCACCAGTTTGTACAGGTGAACGCAGACCCAAACCCTTGGATCTTAAGAACAATGAAAAAGCAATCAGGTTCTTAAAAGAAGAATTTTAATTAAAGAAAAGGTAAAAGAATCACCTCTGTAAAATCAGAATGGTAAATACCTTACAGGGTAATCAGATTCAAAACATAGAGAATCCCTCCAAGCAAAACCTTAAGTTACAGAAAGATACAAAAACAGGAATATACATTCCATTCACCACATCTTATTTTACCAGCCATTAAAGAAAAGGAAATCTAACGCATTTCTAGCTAGATTACTTACTAACTTACTTAACAGAGTTTCTGAGACTGCATTCCTGATCTGTTCCCCGCAAAAGCATCACACAGACAGACAGACCCTTTGTTTCCCACCCCGCCCCTCCAGCTTTGAAAGTATCTTGTCTCTTCATTGGTCATTTTGGTCAGGTGCCAGCGAGGTTATCTTAGCTTCTTAACTCTTTACAGGTGAAAGGGTTTTGCCTCTGGCCAGGAGGGATTTTATAGCACTGTTTACAGAAAGGTGGTTACCCTTCCCTTTATTTTTATGACAACTGAACCCTGGTCTCCCAGGTTGGTGCCCTAACCAGGGGACCATCTTTCCTCTTGATTGCTTCCCCTGATTCCGTCATTGCACCAAACTAGTGTACGACCCCACTAGGCAGCGTCTCAGGGAAACCTCACCAAGAAGAGGGCGGTCCATGCCCACCTGGCAATGACAGAGTGGCACCTGTGGAGGGGAGGACGGTCCCTTTAGAGGAGCAACAGCCGAGGAAGGGGCCAGGTGCATTGTACAGCGCAATCTCGTTTTCTTCACAATAGCGAGGGCTAGAAAGTTAATTTATTTAAAAACAAGGGCTGAGAAGCTGATGTCATCGTGTGAGTGTGGGAGACGGAGCCCTAGCTACAGGGTGTTCATATCTGTGCCTTCATCCAGCTCCGTACATAGCTCCTACTTTCCCTGTGGGTAGAAATCAGGGATGTCTTGTGGCTCATTCTCACTCCTGGATAGGGTGACCAGATGTCCCGTTTTTAAAGGGACAGTCCCTTTTTGGGTTTTTTTTTCTTATATAGGTGCCTATTATCTGCCACCCCCTGTCCTGTTTTTTCACAGTTGCTGTTGGATCACCTTACTCCTGGGTGAACATTTTTGGCCCAAACTTTTTTCGCTGGCAAAAAAATACAGCTTCGGCAAGACCAAAAAGTGTCCCTGCTTTGTGTCAGTTTCACCAGACTGTTTCGTCTGAGGAAAAACGACAAGAATTCTGAAAAATTTGGAACGTTTCCTTTGGACATTTTGGAAATGAAACACCTGAATTTTTCAATTCAACACAAAACTTTTGTTTTCAAGCTGGCCTTTAACTGTATTAAGCAACAAGCAAAAACATTGAAAACCAAGCAAAACTGAAACAAAACGTGACAATGTTGTCAAAAAAAAAATGTTTCATTCGACTTGAAATGGAAATTTGACTTTTCAGTTCAGCAAAAATTTCAATTTTGGTTCAACCAGAAACTCCGCCCCCCCGCCAGAGTTGACAGCAAACCAAACAATCCATTATTCGTCCAACTCTACTTATGAGGCCTCATCGAGAACTCAGACTGCTTCTCTTAATGCTGGAGCTGTGGCATGTTGTAGCAGGCACCCCGGTTTACCTGTGCACTGAGTGGAAGCTGTACAACCTCTGTACTGGGGTGGAGAAGTGGGGGCTACTCTCTAGGGCACTATCCTGGCAACGTACTTGTCTTTCAGACACTTACAAGCAAAACAAATAAATAACTAGCGAGACCAAAACAGAGACAAGGTTTAGCTACAAAGTACGTCTGCTGGAGTGTTACTATCACAAGATGCTGCCCTGTGCATGAAACTCATCCCTCGTACATCAAATATTGATTCCCTGATGGTTACTAGAACAGCGCCAGATCTTTAGCTGGTGTAAATCAGGATAGCACCACTGTAGTCAGCTTACACCAGCTGATGATGTGGCTCACAGCATTTATTCTGTGAACCCAGATATTTTAGCCCACATAATAATGCTTTCCATCCACAGATCTCAAAACAGCTTACAGGGATAGGAAAGTATGGTTATCCCTCCTCTTTTACAAGTGGGGGAAACTGAGGCACAGAGCATTGCAGTTACTTGTCCAAGAGGACACAGACGAAGCTGGATATAGAAACAAGATCTCCTGACTGTAAGTTTCAAGCAGTGCCCATTGGGACACACTGTCTCTCTACTTATCTGCCCCCCCCCATCACCATAACATCTGATTAAACTTTAATACAAATACCCCGTGAAGTCGTAGTTCCCCACTTTAGAGATGGAGAAATAGAGATTAAGTGACTTTCTGATGATCACATAGCATCTGTGGCAAAGGCAGGAAGCACAGCCAATGCTCACAAGTCCTGGATCAGTGCTCTAGCCACAAGACCCTCCTTTAACCTTAAACTCAGATCTCATGCCCTAGTTGTAGGACAGGCCTGTCTCTCCAGCCAGACTTCACACCAAGACCAGCGATTATTAGAAAATTAGTGGCCACACTTGATGCCATTGATTAAAATTAGTGACCACATTTGATGCCATTGATTAAAATGTTCTACCTAATTTTTTGGTCTGCCTTGATTCTTATTTGGTGCACACCCATCTAAATCCTATCTGAGTGATCTTGCAGTCCTTGTGCAGAATTTCTATGGGCGTTTGGGCAGGTGAGTGGGATGCCATGTGGCCATCCCCTCTAGATTCCAGACCAACACGATGCAATAACCAACGAAGAGACACCCCCCCCCCCGAGAACTCAGACCTTGTTGGACACGGAGCTCAGTTCCCTCTCCGACAGGACTTTGGGAATTCAGCATGTGCTGAGCCCGTCCCATGCAGACATGCTCAATGGTCTGGATAGGTATGTACCGTACAGTCATACTAGGGGGAGTGCAGAGGAATAAAAATGTGGCTGCTTTTGCAGGAGCACTTTCTGTTCCCACCATGTCTGGAGGAGCTGCCTCTCCCCTCCCTCTTGTGTGCAGAGAAGCTGCCTCTCCCTGCTGTAGTCCTGAGGGGCTGGGGAGCTCACTCCCCACTCCACTGCCCTGGAGGAGTTCTGTGTCTCCACTAATTGGGGGTGCCTGTGCCCCTCTTGCTCTCCCCCCCTCGTGCATGCCCTTATCATCGTCATGTATTTTGCCACCAAGCCTCAGTGCTTTGACAGAAGGAGTTCTCATTTTCTTTTTAAAGTAAAGCTGAGATTCTTGCATCATCACATGACTCTGGGAGCTGGGACTTTCAGAATCCTCCCCCCACAAAATATTGCAAGACTTGCTGTAAAGTCATGAGAGCTGGCAACACTGCCAGCACGCTCAATGAAGCCCCCAGTGCCGTGCTTTGCAAGCTAACCTCAGTGCATTGATTGAAGGAGTTCTCAGTCATTGGGCAACGTAACTCCAAGGATGAGACCCACTGGTTTCAGTGCTGCGAGTGGGTGATCTGTCTCTCCTCAGACACTGAAAGGTTTCTGCTGTGTTAGGGTGACATTTTCAATTTATTAACTGCTCTTCTCCCTCTTCCAGGCCACCACTGAACCCCCCAAAAAGAAATCGGACCCCGTCACTTCCGAGACCGTGGTTTTCTGGGGGCTACGCCTCTGGCAGGTGATTGGAATCTTTGCCATCTTTGTCCTGGCAGTCAGTAAGTCACGATTCTCTGCCCCTCACCCCCACTCTTAGGACCCCATCCTGCTCCCATCAGAGCCAAGGGCAACACTGCCGTGGGTGTCAATAGGTATAGGATCGGGCCCTTCTTCCTGGTACTTTGCCGTGTCAGGCTGCAACAGGAGCGTGAGCTGGTTTTTCACAGGCACCCATTTCACAGGGAATTAGGTGTCCCCTGGATGTGCCCGTGTTATGCTAGTGGTCAGCCTAGCTGATCGTAATTAAGGCTAAGATTTAGTTATGGGTATTTTTAGTAAAAGTCATGGACCCGTCATGAGCAAGAAACAAAAATTCATGCCCGTGACCTGTCCATGACTTGTACTATATACCCCTGACTAACTCTTGGATGTTCTGGAGGGCTCTGGGGGAGCAGCTGCTGCTCTGGAGGGGGGGCTCTGGGGCACCTGCTGGTGCTCTCAATTCAAACACACACACACACACACTCTCTCTCTCTCTTATATTCCAACTGTAGCGGACTTTTGTGTCAGTCTAATACAGGACATATATTAACAGGTAAAGGAAGTTATTTAACAAGAATTCACTGGTTTTCAACTAGATAACACCTTGCTCCCATCAGTGGCAAATTGATACGTAATTGGTTTACGCCAAAGAGGCACAGGTGGGGATCCAGTCTAGGGGTCCAATTCTCTGATTCTGCAGAGAACCATCTCTTTTTGTCTGGGAAAGATTTTTCTTTCAGAAATAAATAGGATGGTTTGTAGGCATTACTGGTTTTTCACTTAACCTAGGTAATTTAATTGATCTTATGACAGTGAGAGACAATACCAGAAAAGCAGCTATTAGGTTAGATATTAGGAAAAAAATTCTATCTAAGGATCGTTAATGGAATAGGCCTCCAAGAAAGGCTGTAGAATCCTGGTCATTGGAGGTTTTTAAGAACAGGTTAGAAACACACCCATCACGGGTGGTCTAGGTATAACTTGGCCCTGCCTCTGGAGGTCCCTTCAAGCCCCACATTTCTGGAATTCTATGATTCTCCTCAACTAGCACAGTTTAAGATCAAAACCAGAGAGATTCCAGAATTTAGTAAAACTAGCTTATGTCTAAATTAGCTACATAAAATTTGCAAATGATTAGCTATGTAATTAGCTCTAAACACTAAAAAAAAAATAGCTTTTTTTTTGCTAATTACAACCTCTGTAGAATTAGCAATGTCTAAAATCGTAACCAGAGAGAGACTGTTTAAAACTTTGTAAAATTAGCTTAAATCTGGGATTTTGTCATCAGCCCATGCCAACTTCATGTCTCTTTGTCCAGAGCAGTTTCCCCTCTTCTTTGGGTTCTGGGTTCAGAACAGGCTGATGGTTCGCCAGTTTAGGAGAAGGAGAAGAAGTCACAGCTTTGAGTGGGTCTGTGCAGCTATTTCTTAACTGAGCTCTGAGACCTGCCCTTTGGGTCTTGGTTTTGCTCCAGAGCACACTGCTGGCTTGCTGTTTTCAACCAGGAAGACAATTCAAGGGGTGTTTCCGATTCTTTAGCTGGAATTGAGGGTCACAGGCAGCTTGGGGTTTTTGCTTAGCTTTACACTTCTTGGGTCCTCGTCTGTTTCCAGAAGCACCAACTCACTGGCCAGAGGAGGATTGTAGCAAAAGTCTCTAATCTTACTCAGAGGAGGAGCATCTTTCATAGGGTGGGTTTCGTCAGGGTTTTGGAGGGGTGTCTGGCCCAGCTCCTATTGGTTTGACAGTCATACCTGTTTAGCAGGGGATAGCTTTTAGCGTACTGGTTTATGACGTGTGTTCATCACAGTAACCAGGAGGTGGCAGCCTTGTATTACAAATGCGTTTCAGTTCTTATTTCCGTGGATGACAGCAAGGTGACAGATTCCAGCAATCCAGCCTGGTTAAATTCCAAGGATTAATGAAAAAGAACATTTCACTTCTTTCTCTCTCAGGCAAACCCTATCTATCAATTTATATGGACATCAAGGCTCTCCAGAGCTAGGATCATTCAGGATCAAATGTTTTGGAAGAGCTCTTAAACCTCTTGCTTCAGGGTTTCAGCCAAGCTCTAACTAACGGACAGCAGGATGAGAGCTCATGTGAGATGCAGTGTTGGTCCCAAGATATTAGAGACACAAGGGGGTGAGGCCATATCTCTTATTGGACCAACTTCTGCTGGGGAGAGAGACCCGCTTTCAAAATAGAGCTCTATATAAACTCGAAAGCTGGTCTCTCTCCTCAACAGAAGTTGGTCCAATAAAAGATATTACCTCACCCACCTTGTCTAGCTCATGTGCGAGGCAGATTATCCCATATCTGCCTAGAACCAGAAGAACAGCCAGACTGGGTCAGACCAAAGGTCCATCTAGCCCAGTATCCTGTCTGCCAACAGTGGCCAATGCCAGGTTTCCCAGAGTGAATGAACAGAACAGGTCATCATCAAGTGCTCCATCCCCTGTCGCCCATTCCCAGCTTCTGGCAAACAGAGGCTAAGGACACCATCCCTGCCCATCCTGGCTAACAGCCATTGATGGACTGACCCTCCAGGAACTTATCTAGTTCTTTTTTGAACCCTGTTATAGCCACTGTGGGAATCTTACATCTAGTACTGGCCACTGTCAGAGACAAAGTATTGGATTAGATGGATCTCAGCTCTGATCCACTGAGGAAACTCCTGCGTTCCAATTTTCCTTTTTATGCAATTTCATCCCTATTATTTAATAGCATTCATAATCCTAAGAGATAATCAGTCTTCAGTGAGTGTAACGATCCTTTACAGGAGACCTGTCACAGGTCTGCCTGGTCCTGTAAAGAGCAATACACATTGTTCAGCTTTCATTAGCAGAGGGATCACTCGCAATAATGAACAGCCAGCTAATCCTGTGGCAGTATGATTCTTGTTTGTTTCTATAGTAAGCCAATACAAATCAGGAAAAATAAAGGAAGTGGTAAGTTTCCACTCACTCAAAAGCATTTGTTCCTGTGTCTTGCAGGACACATTCTTCATTGCTTTAAACTGATCTATGATCAGCTGTAACTGTGCCTCCGTGGGTCACAACTGAGGATACCAAATTCAGGACAAACTGCTGAGAAATAGGGCAAACATAACCCCAAACTGGTGGTTATTCTTTCATAAGATATACCCAACCAGCCACAAAAGTGAACTCCTGTTTCACTACACTGGCTAACAAGAAGTCATAAAAGCAGTCTCCTTGGGCATTCTAGGTCTTATATCACCACCAGAAACACTGGATTCACAGATGAGTGGTTCTTTAAAACCAATCTAATCAAATGAAAGGTTCTTCTGATCTCAAAGGACCAGCCACACACCCAGGTCAATATATAACTTAGATCTTACCCAAAAATCACGCTGATGCCAATCCTTTAGTATTGAAAATCTAAAGGTTTATTCATTAAAAAGAAAGAAAGGTGAGAATTAAAAATTGGTTAAAGGAATCATATACATACAGTAATGGCAAAGTTCTCGGTTCAGGCTTGTAGCAGGGATGGAATAAACTGCTGGCTTAAGTCAAGTCTCTGGCTTCTTCCAAATCATTGGAAGGTCCTCAATTCCTTGCTTAAAATGCTCCCATTAATATAGTCCATATTCCAGAGGTTTGGGCAGGAAAGAGGTTGGAGCAGGATAGAGGCAAAATTGAGGGGTTTGCAGGGCCTTTTATATCCTCTGCCATGTGGAGGGAAACCCATTGTTCTTACTGTGGAAAATTACAGCAACAAGATGGAGTTTGGAGTCACATGGGCAAATCACATGTCCATGCATTTTGCCTAGACATTGCAGGAAGCCATTACCTATACTTCAGACAGCACGTTTACATGACAGTCCAGTGTAGATGGGCGTCTCCCCTGGTTCATTGTGAGTTAAACAGCCTTTTGATGGGCCACTCAATTTGAATAGTCTCTCCAGGATGGGTGCTAGCTAACTACCTTGTTAGTTACCCCAGGAGCAAACATTTGAAATACAGGTGTAGCGCCAATATTCATAATTTCAAATACAAAAATGATACATGCATACAGATAGCATAATCATAACCAGCAAATCATAACCTTTTCAGAGATATCTCACATGCCCCATTTTGTACAAGATTTGTTGCAAATATATAACAGTGGTTGCAACAATGATCTACATGGTGATATTTTAATCAATCAACTAACATCCAGAGCAAAGCACTGGAGAAGAGTTGAAAAGAAAGGCTGAACTAAAAGATGTGTAATATATAATATCTGGCTTAATACCTGGGCTTTAATTTACCATTTTAGCATGTGTTAGAGTACACCTTGCCTTGTCTTTTGGCTGGAGTTTTAGAAGGGGTTGGACTGCCATGAAACTCATTACAAACCTTTAAATCCTCCTCAAGACAAGGCCTCAGAAGCCAACATAAATGCAATTATTTCTTAACATAAGAGACCCCATGCCTCCCACAGCACTCAGCAATGTCAGTAGCAGTGTATGGGCCTGGCTCTTCCCCTCTGAGTGGGAGTGACAAGCTAACCATAGACCACAGGGAGATTGTATATCAGCTAGGAGGCAGGCCCTTATCAAATTGGTCTAGAAGACAAAAGCCAGAGCGTCTCATTTGGACATAAGCCAGGAGCCTGGAAGGCCATTTCTGGCACAGGGGGCTGATTACCCATTTTTCAAGCAGGCCAGAATGCTGTTAATGTTACACACAGGACGTTACTTGGTTCCAAAGCAGACAGTATATCTCACTTTATAAGGCTGTTTGTGCTGGGCTCCACCTAAACCAAAAGAGAACCAGACTGCTAGCATGGAAAATTGAAAAGGTTGTGGAGGATTTTTTAAAACTAAGGACTGGGAGAAAGCCGAGAGGCATGGAGGAGCACTTAGCTTGGGGGGAGACATCCCTTAGGAATGAACTGATTAAAGGGGTAACTCTATATCCTAATAAAGAGGATAGGAGAAACTTGGTAAAGTACAGTAGGAGCTGGGGAGGAACATTCAAACATAAACGAATCTCATTTAAATAATACATAT